AAAAATATTTAAATTAGTGTTATAGTTGATATTGAAAGATCAGAATAAAAACAATACCATGTCACATAAAAGTAATATATTACCCCCATTTACTGTGTTCTTTTCTGTAGGGCATTTGATCGTTTAATCATTGGAACAATTCTGAAAATGGATGTTAGCATCATCTTTTTAAAAACAAGAAAACTGAGTCTTAGAGTTGCAAAGGTCACAGAGATAATAATTGAAAGAGCTATGATTCAAACTCAGGTCTTTTGCCATTGATACCCATGTACTCAATCTCTAAATTATTTTGTGTCTGATTCTATTATCCTTTATTTGTTATATTTTGAACATGTTACTTTTAAGTTCAGAAAGTAATAAAATGAAAGTGTTTTCTTAGAGAGAGAATTATTTCCTAATATATATATCATCTATCCTTTGAATTTTTTAATACATCAAATGTGCCAGTATTTTAGGATAGTAAAATTTCATTATTGAGAGTCCCTTAGTGTAAAATGTTTCATTTCATTGAATAGCTTGGAGGAGGATAAAGACAACCCATCTTCATCAAGTTTATTTGTCTTCTTTCTTGCTGATCCTTGAATATTCCTCTGGAATGGGGATACTGACAAATGGGGCCACTGTTTCTATAAGAAACTACAAATTTGTACCATAACATTAGAAATAAATAAAACTGACTATCTTCTTATGTGTTTTTCAAATATGCTTTTTTCAAATATGTTTCAAAGTATAAACCTAGGTCATTGAGGGAATTATCCCTGGAGTAGAAAATTTCAACACTTATACAAAAAATAATTGGTTTAAGCATATTGCTAAATCTATGAATAGATTTCTATTATGAGAGTAAGGAAGAAGACACTAATTTTGAGTCTAAGTTCAGAGTAACCATTCAATACATTCTTGTAGAATAAAAAAACACATGTAATATTAAATTTAAAAAACCTATATAAATATGCCTTTTTGCTCTGTATTTTTTTAAAAGAATGGTTCAAAATAAAATGTCAATTCATCTTTGTTTATAACAAGGCTAAAAAATTACCTTACTTTGCATTATGGTTTCTCATATAATTTATTTTTTGGTGATCCAATTTGAATCTGCACAATGTGGTGAACTCTTAAATCTTCAATAAAATGTTGTATGTAAGAAGTCAGATATTTTTTGCAGCATAAATTTTGCCAAAGAAACAGCAATTAAGGATATATTTCTGATCAAAGAAGTAGTACAATGTAATACCATTTAGAGCATACATATGCAGAATAGTAAACTAAGAGAAACTGGATAATTCAGGTTGGACCTATAACTAGAAAATTAGTATTTTAAACCCTTTTTACTTATTAATAGTTTCAATGTTAAAATAAATTATTACATCAAAGGTTTTAACATTTTTCTCATTTAACATGTATGAATCTTCTTTTCTAAAATATCACAAATGATTACTTCAAGTGAGTATAGTAACCAAAAGGACATTAAAGTAAGATAGTGTTTAAATGTGGACTGAAATCTATTAAACATCTTGCCATTATTATAAAAAAAATCATAGTATAAGGTTATGAGCTCTAATGTATTACAACAAAGAGAAATATAGAGAGAAATAATTATCTCCCATAGATATTATTTAATCCTACAGGATAAGGTTCAAACTTTGAGCCAAATAGTCAATATCCTTTATATTCTGTTTCCTGCTAATATTCTCAAGTAGCATCTCCTAATAATCTCATACATAAAATATTTTCTTTGGAACTTTCTGGTCACCAATCTCAGATTATAAAAAACTCTCACTCTTTTATGCTTCTTTTCTCCTTTTTTAATTTTTATGAATCCTATATTTCTTTTAGAGCAAATTTATGGAAACTCTCCATGAAGCCATATGCAAACAATTAAACTTCAAAGTACATACTGGAACAAGATATTTGCAGCAAACATAGTCAATATATGGTTAGGATCCTAAGAATGTATAAAACAATTCCTACAAATGAATATAAAAAATGTTAATTGTGTTTAGTCTGTATTCTCCAAACACAGATATTTAGATTATAATTCAAGCAGTATACTTAGGAGATGGTCTCAGGAAATACTTGTAGAGGGTGTGTTGTCAAGCTATTTACTAGTGTAGACCACTCGACCCTGGTCTCTGGGGGGAGCTCTTGACAGTGTAGATACCTGTGAGGGAACTGAGCTATGTATGCTCCTGCCAGTCATTAGCTGAGGGCTGTCTCTCAGGGACGTTAACCTTATGTAACCAGGGATATCTATCGATACAATAATAATAGAGAAAGATGCAAATTGACCATACCTTCACAAGACCCACAAGCCAATAAGGAGTGAGTGTGCAAATTAGCCCAACAATGATGGTGGGTTTATCTGCATACACGGGTGCCCAGTGGCCTGGGATGCAGGCATTCCACACTGCCCCAGCTGCTCAGGGCCTCTGGGCACATGGGAAGGCAGAGCCAGAGCAGAAAGAAGCTGCTCCAGGGTCGGAGTGGAAAGCAATGCCAGCAGCCAGGGAAAGGAAGGCCCATTCTTACATGAATCTTTGTGAATCAGGCTTCTAGTAACTTAAATGATATCTTGTGCAAAAGGGTATATACAATATGTTCAATAGTATTCACAGGCGGAATGTTTATAGAAAGCAAACAAGACACCAGAAACAACTATAATGTTCTTTCAAAAAAGAATAAAACATGAATCATAATGTAATATATTCATACGACAGAATACTATGTAATGGTGATCTGTCATCTGCATCAAAATGGATGAATTTCACTATTTTTCTGCTTTTCCCCCTATCCCTGGGACAATTATATCTCAATTTCACTGTGTCAAAATATTCATAGTATAAGTAAATTTATATAATGTCAAAAAACATACAAAATCATTACTTTTTTTTAAAGTATTTAAAGAGGTATAGTAAAACTTTTTTTAAAAAACTTTTAATGAAACAGAATAGTAAACATCATTCATGAATTTGTGGGACAAATAGAAAAATGCAGTCAGGGAGGAGCACCCAAAGGATTCTAAAGGTACTGGTTATTTGTTAAATTATATCATGGGTACTCATATTGTTTTATATACCAAAAAAATAACAAAATATTGGATATAGGAAGAAAAACCATAGAGTGAAACTGAGATATAATGTCCCAGGGGTAGGAGGAGAAACAGGAAAAGAAATCTACAAGAAACTGGGAAGCAGAAAACAATTTCTGATGGCAACTGTTGCTAGGCAGTGTGGGATGCAAAGTGAAATGATCTTAGTGGAATTGGAACTTAAGTCATTGAAGGCTTTGGTAACTGCAGTTTTGGCAATGGAGTGGAGGCATGTGTCAGAAAACAATGCCTCGAGGGGTAGTAAACAGTGTGTGGATGGGTAGCTCTTTAAGCAGATTGTAAAATTACAGCAGGGAGAGTAGGGAGATCTGGGGGAGATAAGAGATCAACCGAAGGACTTGTATACATGCATATAAGTACAACCAATGGACACAAAACTCTGGGGAGGGGGGGTATGTATGGGAGGGGAGGGCAATGTTAAAATATGTACACAGATAATAATTTAATAAAAAAAATAAAAAAAATAATCCTGCCAGTAAATGCAAGTAAGGTGATAGGTCATAATTTGAGGGGGGGGGGGGGGGACAGTTTAAACACTATGTAGAAGTATATTTTTAAAAGAGCATAGTCTTTTTTTAGACCATGGATTAAAGGCATTAAGATCTTTAAATAGACATATAATTATAGGAAAAAAGTCAACATCCTTTTAGGAAAAAGTGTCCTGGAAAATATTTGGGTTAAATCTTCTTGGTGAAAAAGATGTAAATATCTATATTAATAAAAGGATGATATGGTAATTAGACTGGATAGATGGAACATCATTTTGGATGGCTGACAAAGACAAGGCTTGGGCAAAGCTGCCCAGGGTCCTGGGTGCCTGAAGCCATCCAGGGTGGTGCCGCCTGGGGTCCTGGGTCCTGGTGCCTGCCTGAGCAAAGCTGGCCTGGGGTTTCTATTGCCTGCAGCCAGCTGGAGGAGGGAAGCCTGGGTCCCAGATGTGAAGGCCAAGGCAGAGGTGGTTAAGGGTGATCAGGCAGGCAGGCAAGCAGTTAGGGGCATCAGGCAGGCAGGCAGGCAGAGATGGTTAGGGGCAATCAGGCAGGCAGAGGGGTTAGGGGCGATTAGGCAGGCAGGCAGAGGTGGTTAGGAGCAATCAGGCAGGCAGGCAGGCAAGTGGTTAGGAGCCTGCAGTCTCAGATTGTGAGAGGGTGCACACCGAGCTAAGGGATACCTCCATTCCCCACCCCCATGCAGGAATTTCATGCACCCAGCCTCTAGTTTTAAATAATTATTTTATCTAACTGGAAAAATTTCCCCAAAGGATATTTTCTCAACTCTTTTAATGACTCCCAAAGCCTTTAGGATTCTGTTTATTATTGTTTCTATGTTCTTGCTAATTTTCATTGAACAAGAATTAGACCAACTTGAATTATAAGAGACATGCATGATAAGCCTACTTTAGAAAAATTACCAATTAAGGGGACAAAGACTCGTTCCTGGGCAGCTTTATCATCATTATAATAAAATGTAGGCAAATTTTAATGATTATGTGAAAGAGTAAGTAGTATAAACACTGACTATACTAGTATATGCCAGTGTTTCATTGAAAAAGGACTAAAATTTTTAAAATGTGGCATACAACTTGAAATTTCAATTTATTAAAATCTTGCTGGTGTGCACAGGGCAACGCTGAGTGAAGCTGCTGGCTTTGGCAGTGACATAAGCTCAGAGTAGTAGAGTAGCAAGGAAGTGAGTGACTGCCATTTACTTTAATAGCAGGAAAAATTTTGAAGCTGTAGCAACATGCTCAATAAATTCTTCCATTACTGTAATACCAAAGGAGACTTGAAAAATTTATTACACTTCTAGTTTTTTCCTTTGAGATATATATTCTTGTTCTGTTTCTATGGCAACATTGATGGCAGTAACTAAACCTTTAACTTCTTTCTAGACTCCCTGATGGCTTCACACAGCTTCTAAACCTGACCCAGCTCTACCTGAATGACGCTTTTCTTGAATTTCTTCCAGCCAATTTTGGAAGGTAAGAATAAAAAATTTAAATGATTCCATTTTATTTCACTTTAAGTAAATACTTTACCTGAGCCAGTTGGTGAAGCTTTAAAGTGACCATTGTGATAAACCTCATTATCGTTCAGTAAATGAGACGATGTTAACCTATGAAACATTTTGCAAAAAGTAAAGTAAAATTAGGTCATTAATAATCAATAGCCCAGACAATGATTGCTCAGCAGTTGGATGTCAACCCATGAACCAAGAGGTCCCAGTTTGATTTTTAGTCAGGGCACATGCAGGGTTGCGGGCTCAATCCCTGGTGCGGGACATACAGGAAGTAGCTGATCCATGATGTCTCTCTCATTGATGTTTCTATCTCTCTATCCGTCTCCCTTTCTTTTTCTATAAAAAAAAAAAAACAAAAAACAGAAATATTAATATTTTTAAAATTATATATATATATATATATATATATATATATATATATCTTTTTTAAAAATAATCAAATAAATTATATATGTTAAATATAAAAAATTTAAAAGATATAGAAAAATACACATGAATATTTATGGCTCTTGAGTTGGAAAATATCTTTATATAATAGAAACAAAGGGAAATATAAATGGATACATAGATGTGAGTACATAAACACTTTTGAAATAAAATAACATCAGAAGATATTTCACAATTAAGGAAAAACAATAAACTGGGAAAATATGTCCACTCTATATGGGAAGCAAATTATATCCTTAACTATAAAGAATTCTTACATATGAATATAAAGGCAAAATATTCATTAGGGGGGAAAAATGGGTAAATGACGTGTACAAGCAATCCATAATAAAGTACAAATTTCCAGTGAATGAAAAATGTTTATTCTGACAAAGAGTAAAAATAATACAAGTCAAAATGACAATAAAGTGCCATTGTGTTCTAGCATATTACAGAAATCATTTCTAAAGAATGAGGAAAGATATGCTCACTCTGCTGATGGAATTGCAGAATGATAGGAGCTGTGCACAGGCAGTGTGACTTAAAAGCTTTGAAAATATTTACAACCACTGCTTCTGCCATTTATTTGTAGAAACGTATCCTACCATCATCAAATATCACACTAGGATTTATGGACAAGAATATTTATCATTATTTACAATATGAATAAAGTGGAAGCACACATCCATCTGGGAGATGGGTTAAATATATTAAGTTGCATCCACATGACAATCTGTGAAGATTTATAATGTTGTATATGGAAATATGTTTGTAGATCTTATGATATGTTATATTTAGGAAAATATTACAACAAAATATATAAACTATATTCACAATATTAATACATATAGGCATGAAATAAAAGACTGGTTCCTTGGAAGTAAAATTAGGGAAATTTTTATTTTCATCTCTATATTTACAATATTTCCAAGTATTCTGCAATACATCTTTTTCTCCAATTTCCTTGAAATAAATTGATATGCAGCACTATACAAGTTTAAGGTGTACAGCATGATCACTTACATATCTTGTGAAATGATAACCATAAGTTTAGTTAACAATCATCATCTTATATAATTAAAAAAAACATTTCCCTTGAGTTTGTTGGTTGGTTGTTTGTGGGGGTTTTGTTTGTTTGTTTGTTTGTTTTGTGTGTGTGGGTTTATTTTTGTGGGGGAGCAGGGAGAGGAGATTTCTTATGTAAATAATTATCATACCATATTTCTCTGTACAGCTTACTTTCCTTTGGCTCCATTCATTTTGTCACAAATTGCAGTTTGTCCTTTTTATGGCTAAATAGTATTTCATTATGTGTATTTACATTTAGTTTATCTATTAAGCTATTGATGGAGACTTAGGTTGTTTTCATGTCTTGGCTATTGCAAACATTTTATATGTACAGGATTTCAGGAAAAATAAGGGCATGGGGTACATGGTAGAACAATATTATAAAAAAGCAAAAGGGTGAATTTATTATTTTAGCAAGTTTAGATGTGCTAATTCACCACTACAACATTGAAAGGAATAATAACACTGTGAGCCACTGGTTTGGTTTTGTGCCAGGGACCCTACTAAGTCTTTTGCATGTGTTATTGTATGTACTACTCATGACAACTCAATGATTTCAGGTCAGAATTATTGTATCTTCAATTTACTAAGGATGAAACAGGAACTCAGAATAACTTAATTAGTTGGAGATGGTATTTGATCCCAGGCAGGCTAACCAATTACAGGGCCCACACCCTTCTACTACCATAGAGAAGAAGGACAACACTCTGCAATCAGATAGACTGTTTTCAAACCTAAGTACTGTCACTAACTGTGTGAGCTTATGCAACTTACTTGTGTGAACTTAATTTTTTAATCTATAAAATAGAACTATTGACAATATTTTTTGTCACTGTGATTAATAAATAAGGTTAACCAGAATAAGATCTTTAAAAAAAAAAAGTTAAGACAATTTAAGTTTATTAACTGTGTTTTTCTAAGTGATCATCATTGAAAGTGCTCAAATAATAGATTGAGTATAACTTAACACTTATCTGTTGGCAGAAGCTAGTGCAGATGTTATGAACTCTGGAATAATGATGTCCCTAAGCATGTTCCAGCCCCCATTTGCATATAGATGATTGTATTAACACTTCCCAAATTCCCTTACTTTTTGCAAATCAGATCACAGCACCTACAAACACCCTGTTCTTGGACAATTTTTAAAATTCACAGATCTTCAACAGAGCATTTACCTGGCTTCGAACGAGCTAGTACTTCACCATTCATTCATCTAAATTAACATTGTCCTTCTGGTAGTGAGCACAACTGCAACGATGCTTTTGAATAATCAAATGAGAAAAAGCCTAATTGTCACCTGAAGAAACTCTTTTGTCTTGAATTTTTTTTTCAGTTCTCTTTTAGCAGTCCTAATATGAGGGAAGAGATTTGGCAAATAGAAAACATAATACCAAAATTGAAACCACTTGGAATTAATTTAGTGAAAATAGCATGCCAAAATATGATCCATTTTATTATTGTTATCTAAACAGTTTTTTAACCATCAGTTGGATAGCATGTCAAAAGGATTCTTAAAGGCCCTTTTCAAACCTGAGATTTTGTGTTCCTAAGAGCCAGAATAAGTCACAAAATATCATCACACTAGTACAAATATTGAAAATATTTGAGACATATAAATGTTTAAGAAATATCTTCTACTAGCAATATGCCCATGTGCTATAGAACCAAATCACTTTATTTCATATAGAATTAAGAGTTATATGATTAAACTAGAGGCCCAGTGCATGAAATTCATGCATGGGGTGGAGGAAGGGTTTCCCTCAGCCCAGCCTGCATCCTCTCCAATCTGGAACTCCCTCTCACAATCCAGGACTGCTGGCTCCCAACTGCTCGCCTTCCTGCCCTCCTGATCACCCCCTAACCACTGCCCTACCAGCCTGATTGATGTCTAACTGCTTCCCTGCCTGTCTGTCTGTTTGCCCCCACCTTCCCTCCTCTGCTGGCCTGGTCACCCTTAACTGCCCTCCCTGCAAGGTTGATCGCCCCTAACTGCCCTCCCTTGCAGGCCTGGTCCCTCCCAACTGCCCTCTCCTGCTGGCCATCTTGTGGTGGCCATCTTGTGTCCACATGGGGGCAGGATCTTTGACCACATGGGGTAGCCATATTGTGTGTTGGAGTGATGGTCCATCTGCATATTACTTTTTTATTAGATAAGATAGAGGCCTGGTGCAAGGGTGGGGGCCAGCTGGTTTGCCCTGAAGGGTGTCCTTGAATAGGGTGGGGGTTCCCTTGGAGTATGGGGCAGCCTGAGTGAGGGGTCTGTGGTGGTTTACAGGCCAGCCAAGCCCCCCAGCGACCCAAGCAGAGGCCCTGGTATCTGGGATATATTTACTTTCTACAATTGAAACTTTGTAGCCTGGAGCAGAGCCAAGCCTCCTGCTTGCTGCTTCACAGCAGCTGTTTTTGTTTGGATTCGTTTACCTTCTATAATTGAAACTTTGTAGCCTTGAGTGGAGGCCCAGGCCGGCCAGGGCAAGCAGAAAGTTTGGCTTCCTCCATTGCTAGGGAAACACCTCCCTCCTGCTCTCTGAGGTTGTAGCCATCTTGGTTGGGTTTATTTGCATACTCGTTCTTATTGGCTGATGGGCATGGCTTGTGGGCGTGGCTTTGTACAGTGGAGTGATGGTTAATTTGCATATTACTCTTTTATTAGGTAGGATTAGAAATTTGATAGGAGTCAAAACAGAAAAGAAATGGGAAGAGACCTAGAGAAATATACAAAAGCACAGCAAATTGGACAATTGTAGGTTAAATCATTCAAATAATGAATTATTCCCCAGACACTAATTCAGAGAATCCATTTAATGTTGTTCTAAAGCACATGTGTCAAACACAAGGCCCGCGGGCCAAATCCGTCCTGCCAGGCCTTGCAATGTGGCCCACACCGCGCTGTCATCACTGCACTCCGCTGCGTTTCCATCACAATGACAGTTTATGACTGTTCAGTAAACCATTCGGCCCGCGATTTAGGCTGGATTTTAGATTTTGGCCCCTTCTCTGATTGAGTTCGACACCCCTATTCTAAAGCCTCAACTAAGTACATTTTAAAACTCAGTTATAGACATTGGTAACAAAAGTCCGCTGGGCTGCAGACCTTAACAAGTATTTTGGTGTGAAATGCATTCCTAATCACGTGTTACTCAGCAACAGAAACTGTGAGCATCTTTTACCTCCTCTAGGATTTTCCCAACCCCAGTACTGTCACAGGATTGATGATGCTATAGACGTTTTCATATACTTCCACTTCCAAAATGTTAAGATATTCATCTTAGAGTCAATGAAATATGGTATATTAATTAGATTGTTTTTTCCACTATCCGATAATAATAATATCTAACACATACTAAAACTTGCCATGTGCCAGGCATTATGCTTTACCTGTGTGACATTATTTAAGATTCAAGACTCTATACGTTAGGGTACTGTGATCACAAACACATTACAGAGCAGGAAGCTTAAATTAGACTAGGTTAATTTGTGCAGAGTCACAGAAGTATTAATAGAATGTGAGAGTCTGGATTTCACCCAAATCTATCTGACTATAAAGCTCAAACTCTTAACCACTATGCTATTTTATTTGCTTTACAAGTTCATGTATAGTCTTTTGAGGGAAAGTATTGCTATATTCCAGTGAACACAGAACTTGGAATTTAGTAGATAGTCAGTAGTCTGCTGAATATATAAAATTAAACAGTGAATATATTTATATAAAACATAAAATGGAGAAGTAATATCTTTGAAAGATATTTATTTCCTGGAAATTTTGATTTTACAAATTACTTGTCAAATTTGCTTTTGACAAATGATATTTGTTATTATCTAATGTTAATATGACCCTGTTCATAATCAATTTGTATAATTCTTAAAGTCTGTAACAAAGGTATATAAGGTTGAACATAGCTGTTTTGATAACAATTATTAACTTATCATAGTAATATTGTTTTATAGAAAAAATAAGCAATTTTTAAATTTATTTCTATAGACTTGTCAAATTACGGATCTTGGAGTTAAGAGAAAATCACCTGAAAACTCTACCAAAGTAAGTGACTGTGTATTTTCTAAATTTTGAATTGTGATTTTTTCCCCCACTGGTATTAAAAAAAATTACTATTTTTATATTGGGTATGCTTTGCCATTTTGATTGACTGAATTTTTCTGTGTTTTTTTTTCCTGGAGACTGAAAAGTATAATATACTGTAAGAGTTTTGCATTAAGTAAGAATGAATTCTGCCTTAAAAAATCATATAGTTACAAGGTGGGAAGAGTCTAAGGTTCATCCCATAGCTAAACTAACACACCAGGAATGTTAGTCTGTCAATTTCATTGAAACTTATGAAATTTATATTTTTAAACACAGAAGCAATCGAGTTTCAAAAGGTTCAACCCAATGCTGAATGTTTCAAGTTAATTTATGGATTGTGTTAGTTTTCAATTTTTAAATCAAGACTATGCAAATATATTACATAAAAATGATTACTGTTTTTGCTAGAGATCCTAAAATTGTTTGAGAAAAATTATATTTATACATTCTTTCAAACTGCCTTTTTACTAGTTTATTTAAATTTTGGTTTATATAAATACACAGGATATTTTTATGTAAAAACAAATACCTAAAATGTTATGCAATGTTTACTTTAATAAAATGCTTTGCTTTACCCTGCCTTGACCTATTCATGTCTAATAATAGAATTTTGTGTTATACAGAAAAAAAATATATCTGAAAAACAAAAATTATTCAAAATGTAGTTTTTATTCAAATAAATTAACATGATATGTATGTTACAACTAACTTATTGAAAGTACCATTGCTATTATTACCTTCCTGTAGTACTGCAGAAAAAGACTGAGTACACTGTTTTATTCTTCAAAAAGCAGCAAAACTGAGAGACCTTTTCTCTGCTAACCAAAATTCCATTGTATTTTTTACTTTTTAAAATATTTCCTCCTAAGGAAACTCTGTACTGAATTCCATTGATTTTTAAAACCAATATTTCAATAAAATACCTTGAAGTACATTTTATGTATGCTATAATGTATAAAACTTTTGTCAATTCAAGACTTTCAATAATGATATTGATTTCATTTAAATATATACATAGAGATAAAACATCTATTCATTCCCCCATAAATGGAAGAAGACAAGGAGAGAACATGAAAAGGAGGAAATATCCCTATATCTAGCTACCCTGAACTTTTGAGTAGCCTTGCTCTAAGCTAAAGCATTGGGCATAAGTGTAATGAAATGCATCTCTTTCAGGTTGGGGGCATAAACAGAGAGGGGAGAATGATGGAGAGTGTTACTGGTTCAGCATCAATCTCCTGTAAATGCTGTTGGTGCCACCATTTCCATGCCAAGGGCTTTAAATGTTACATTTAAAATAGAATGGAAACATGGCTAAGCAAAAACTGAACCATGGGAAATAGCATTGTCCCCTTTATCTAATATGTATGTTTACATCAAGTCTTCTTGAACATACTGAGTTTGTAGAGGAGAGTCCTTTCCTCTGCTCTCAAATAATGGTTTTGATTTTAAATATATAACAAATCTTCTATATTTATAAAAGAATAATATGCTAATTAGACTGGGAGACCTTCCAGTTGTCTTTCAAGCCATGGTGGCAGGGCTGAGGCAGAGGTGGTTAGGGTTGATCATGCCAGCAGGGTAGGGCAGTTGGAAGTGATCAGGCTGGCAGGGGAAAGGGGGGCAGTTGGGGAAAATCAGGCCAGCAAGGGGGAGGTTGTTGGGGATGAGAAGGCTACCAGGCAGAGTGATTAGGAGCAATCAGGCAGGCAGGCAGGCAGGTGAGTGGTTAGGAGCCAGCGGTCCCAGATTGTGAGAGGGATGTCCCAGATTGGAGAGAGTACAGGCCAGGCTGAGAGAGAGCCTCTTGTCCCATACACAAATTTTGTGCACCAGGCCACTAGTTAAATATAAGCTGTCAGGTTTTTAAATATATATTTTGACACATAAATTTTAAATATAAATTAAAGCCTGACCTTAGATTGCATTTATGGACTTTATAAGAGATAGTTGTGAGAACAGTTCAGAGTCATGAGTAACAATGCTCATAATTGGTGCATAGGTATTGTGGTATAGTATCAAACAATTAAATTTAGTAGAATAAAATGCATTCAACTGTTTGGCCTGAAAAACATTGTAAAGAAGCATGGATCTAACACCAGGTCTCTTTGGTAGATAGATATGCATGTATGACTTACGTAGATGTTACAGTTTTTATATTTAAAAATGTTTGAAAGTCATTTTAATCTTGTGTCTTCATTTTTTAGCTTATAGACAAAAATATAAAGAATCAAAATATGCATAAAATATAGAGAACTGTTTCTTAGTTTTTAGTGTCTATAAAATGAGAATTGAAGACAGTTCTGTCTTAAAAATAAACTGTGTTTTCACTGTCTATTATACAATGTACCTTCTGATCCCCAATCTAGACCTGTAACTGAGATATGTGAGAGCTTTCCACTGTTCTTTACTTCATACCGACAATGAAAATAAATAAATTTAGTTTTAGGAAAAATAATTTAGTTTTATAATAATTCTTCCAAGAAGAGATAGCACATAATTTTCTCAGGTAAATAAATAAGATGCCAAGTCTTCAGTGGGTTCTTAGTGATTTTCTTTTCTTTTTTATCTTCCATCTTAAAATCTGTATGTCTGACAATCTGTGCCAAAGGTAAAAATGTATAAGAATTATAATTTGCTATCCATTCAAATGCATAGTCCTTAAGTAAACTGATAGAGACATTCTGATCTGTGCAGATTCTAGGACAATTCTTTCAGTTATTACCTAGAAATCAGTATCATAAATTTTACACTGTCTTAGATATCAATGAGTGAGGAAATTAAATTCCTCAGATATACATTTCCTAAAATATAATTGAAACAGTCTTAATTATGAGTAATAATTGTGGGTGTTGAATGACTGAAGAAATCAAATAACCAAAAAGAAAAATCTTTAGATTTCTAGATACAACTTTTCCTAACAGAATTATTTTCCCAGTTATGATTTTTGAGGGCTGTATCTATTTCCAATATTTTTTGTGGCCAATTGTGAGTTTTCACAAAAAGTAGATTATTTGGCATTTTATGTTAAAGAAACCACATCAGAATACATAGTATACTATGAAAGAGCACCAAAAATACGCTGTCAGTTTTTAAAGTATCATCTATAAAAATTTTTTAATTCTTCATAGGAAAAATTATTAAGGAATAATTTAAAGAAAACATTTCCCAAGTACACACATGAATAACACTCTAAAACTACTAAGCTATATGTGTGTTTACTAAAACTACTTAGTAAATAGTGTGTTCATTATACATGATTTTATTCCTTTGGCACTGATGATTTTATTTAGTGATTTCCCCCCTGGCAACAAAAATTTAGAAACTCTACAGTATTCCTCTTCTAGGAATGCCTAAGGTCCCAAACACACATTCACAGGTGTCAAAATATTATACCTTATCTAGCCATACTCTAAGAGAAAGGATCCCCTTGAATTATAAATATAAATCAAAACCAGAGTTACAATGAAAGACATTAGATCATGAAAGTCAAGAAAAAAAGCTTAACTATTTTAGATTGAAGACGAGAGGCATACTAACTAAAAATAGTTATCTGAATTGTTTATTTTTCTAAAAAAAATTTATTGAGACAACTGGCAATGCTTGCATGGAATCTGAGGACTGAATGATAGTCATGCATCAGTGCTGATTTCCTCATTTGGATGGCTGATTTTGGTTTGGTAGGGGGATGTTCTAGTTTCTAGCAAATACACGCTACGATTGGGGGATGATGGGGCACCAGGTTTGCATTGTACTCCCAAGTATTCAGAAAAGTCTTGTATGGTACTTTGAAACTTTTTATAATTGCTTAACCATAATAAATTTTAAAAAGAGATTTTCAAACATAGATTCTTTTAAAAAAAATTTTTAATACTGTCTCATGGAGAAAATTATCAGCTTCATTTCTGAAATACTTGTAAATGTAGAGGGCAAGGGAAGAGTTTGCATTCATGTACTAAAATGATTAACTGTTAAAATGAGCATTTGTATACATATGGTAAAGGTTCTACATATGTGAATAATATGTGTACTATGGATTTATTTTTTCCTACCTAAATGGTAATGAATACACTCTATATATTATAATTTACCAGTCAGATTTATATTTATTTGCAAATAATTTAATTTTCATATAAGCTCTTTTACTTTTTTAAAGTAAGATTATTTTATAGGCAGACTTAAAAAAATTAAACTGTTCTTGTCAGATGTTGTTCTTTAAAAAAAAAAAAAGCTCTTCCTTTGTTATCTATTTAACTACCAATTATTATTATCAGCATAATGAAGAAAATTGTATAAGATAATATGTATTCTGAGTTGGACAGAAGACTAAGTCTTTTTCTATTCTCATTTTAGTGATTCTATGAACAGATTGATTTCACTTGGCATTACTGTACTAGTTATTTCAATAAAATACATCAATAAGTTCTATGGTTCTATTGTAACAAAAAATTATATTGTCAAGCACAGCTTAAAAAGTAGATTTTTGATGTTAACTCTATTTTTGTGACTATAAAACATAATTGTATACAATGTGTTTTTATAACCATACTAGAGGCCCAGTGCACAAAATTCATGCACTTGGGTTTGGAGGGTGGGGTCCCTCAGCCCAGATGCTAGAGGGTGCAAGCCAGATTGAGGGATCCCATTGGTGAATGATCGGCACTGGGGAGGGATATAGGAGATTGGCCAGCCAGGGAGGGACCGTGGGAGGGCTCCAGGGCATATCCGGCCCATCTAGCTCAGTCCCAATTGGCTAGCCTCGGGCTACAAGCTAACCTACCAGTCGGAGGATCTGCCTCCTGGTTGTCAGTGCACATTATAGTGAATGGTTGACTGTCTAGCCTCAGCTGGTCAGTGCACATAATAGCGACTAGTCAACCGGTTGATTGTCTGTCCCCTGGTGGTCAGTGCATGTCATAGTGAGCAGTTGAGCAGCATTAACATATTATGCTTTGATT